CTACTTTGCTAAGGTTCTGTCCTTTCAGCCTCCTTCTGGACGGGAGCTTCTGTAAAAAGCTGGCTGCAGTTCGCCATCTTGGCTCCGCCCCCCATCTTTCTCGTTTTTAATGGCTGAAAAGTATAAGGCCTGGGTCTATAGATTGGCACATGACGTGGTTACCAGTTGTTGAGTGTGCCTAGATCCAAAGGAAAGGAATATCGGCACTGCCTGTTCATGGACGGGTCTCAGTGAACTCGCAACCATCTTTAATCTGTTAAAATTATCTTCAGAATAAACCTTTTATGGTGAATAAGAAAAATATAAGACTTTCAAGGTAAGACATTTACTAGTGCGTATGCCAAATTTACTAAGACTTTGAATATAACAAGCTTGCAAAATTAGCAGCTATCTTTAATTCTGGAAGCATTCGTGAAAGCACATAAAGTAAGGCTTATGAAACTGTCACAGATCAGCCTCGTTTATTATCAGTAAAGTACATGGAGTGACTGGTCATGGATGCACGGACATGGCATCTCGGTTTGAAAGGTAAAATAGCGTAACAGGTCCCTGCAAAATTGGCCACAGCTTTCATGGCTGAACAACTGGCCTTCCCAATTTACTTATTATCTTAATATGGCTGGGACGTATATTACCTTCACTTCCACATGTTTCATTCCTCTGCCTGTCTTAAAACTGCATATTAATTCTATGTTTTTGTATCACCAGTAATGAGATTTTGGTAGAAGAAAAGACTGTTTCTGTGCTCGCTTCGGCAGCACATATACTAAAATTGGAGCGATACAGAGAAAATTAGCATGACCCCTGTGCAAGGATGACACACAAATTCATGAAGCGTTCCATATTAAAAAAAAAAGAAAAGAAAAGAATGTTTCTGAGAAGTTGTTTCTTAGTTTTTGGTGTATAATTTTATTGGGAAAAAGAAATATTTGAGCAACTACTATGCCCCAGAACCTGGTCTCTGCTGGGGAGATACAGCAGTGAGAAGAAAGGATGAAGCCTCCACCTGCCCTGAGGAAATTCACGTTCCTATTCAGGAACATGCAGAGAAAGCAAATAAATAAATATGTAATATAAATTAAAGGAGTGGTAAGTAAAGAATCATAAGGCATAGGGAGGGGATATTTCCACAATGGGGTGAGAGAAGGCCTCAGAGGAAGCAGGCCAGGTGAAATATTGGGCAGAAGGTTCAGAGCAGGCCTGAAAACGGAACTGATTTAGGATGTTTGAGGAGCACCCAGAAGGCAGGTGCCGTAGAGCAGAGGGAGTGAGGGAATGTGGGCAGGAGTTGTCGTCAGCAGAAGATGCAGGGCCATGGTTTTCTGTGGGCTGGACCATGACTGAGCTTGAATTTAAGTCTAAGAGTGGTGGAAAGGGTTTCGAGTAGAAGAGAACCGATATGATATTTGTATCCATGTGCATTTATATATTGACTCTTTCCTTTGTGGACACTGTAGTGTAAGTTCAAAGCTATAAGTGAGGCTATAGAGGCCAGCAGAGGGTTGTGGCTGGTGGGAAGACACAGGAAGTGGGAAAGGGGCCGCTCTGCAGACTCTGCCAGGTGCTCGCAGGCGTGGTGAGAAGTGATTGCACTGCGGCTGAGGTTTGAAGGTAGAGCCAGCAGATGCAGATGAGTGGACTCGAGAGTGACTGTCAGGATTTCTTGGTCTGAGACACTAGCTGTGGCTTTGCCATTTACAGAGATGGGAAGTGTGCTTGGCTGTTGGATAAACTGTGCTATAAATGGAGTAATTGGCTGGGCATGTCAGATCTGAATGACGGGATTATTTTGCCAGTTAGCAGTGTCGAGGTAGTTCCCATAGATCAGTGTCCGACATTATTTTGTGTCTTGCGTCAAGGTCTCTCTCATTAAAGATGTGCCCATGTGTTATGGGGACACGGACGTTGGGGTCAACATTGTTGTCCATGATGTGCAGTACTGTACTTGCTCTGAACATCTCTTTTAAAATGTAATCCATTCCTATGTGTTTGAAAATATTTTAAAGGAAGTTAGTAGTTTCTCTTTTAGAAATATACATATATTACCTGAACCTATGAATTATATTATATGAAATATATATTACATTTGGTATATACACATGTACATTAACTATATGTGATAAATTAAATAAACTACACACTAAAGAAATAAGTGCATAAAAAAACCCTGATGAAGTAAGGTCTGTAGTGTGGTTGACTGTATTGTGCCCTTATCAGTTTCTTGGTTTTCACATATTACTATAATTATGTAAGATGTCACCATTGAGAGAAGCTACGTGAGGGGCCAGGGAGCTTTCTACACTATTTTGAAACTTCCTTTTGAGTCTGAAATTATTTCAAAATTAAAAACGACAAAAGATATGTATGAATACAGTTGAATCTCTCACTTTAAAGGATCATTTTTTTAGTTCTCCCCAATGCAGGGATACTACATTCACATGAAAATGGCAGCAAAAGTGGGTGTATTTGTAGGAAACGAAATTGAATGGGATGCTGGCTTTTCTCCGCTGATCAGAGCTCCAAACTTGTGATACGTTCGCAGTTTTCTTCCTATTTTGGCTTGAACTTCTCATATAGGCAGAACGTATGTTCAGGAAATATTCACTGTCCCCCCAAAGATGAAGTGTGTAGTAATTTGTTAAACTAAATGGCATTTGGCAGATGTCGCAGAGTGCAAACAGCTTAGGGAGCCAAACAAGTTAAACGTGTGAGAATACTAGGTAGGTGTGAGGTTTTTATCGACTGTTTATAATTGGTAGACACACTGAAAACACAACTGCAGCATTTTAGTTCACTAACCCCCCAAACGCTCATTATTTTGAGAGTGTACATTCCCCTATTCCTCTTTCCTGAAATGTACAATTCTGGATTTGTGAGATGATTCTTCTCCCATTAACTTGTTTACATTATTTCTATGTTTATCTTTTTTAAGACCAACAATAGTAAAATAGAGATGCTAAGTCTCTGATTACTGCTGTTTGTTGTTGTTTTTAGATATGAGGATGCAAAGATTTAAATCTCAGTTAAGAAACGTTGGCTCTGTGTTTCTTCTACTCAGTTTTATGACAACAAAATATCATCTGTTTTAGAAATTGTCCCGTATTGGCCTCAAACTCCCTAATAACAAGAGAAGTACCAACTGCCTATAAAGTAATAGTTTTCTGTTGCAAAATCATGATTTGCTGTACTCAGAGGAGATCAACTGTTCCTGAAGAAACAAATGATTTTCTAAAAACAGTATATTAAACATCTTAAAGTGCTTCACCAGCTTGATCTTATGCCACTTCCATCAAATGGGATTTGGTTGATGAAACGGCAAAATAGAACAATCCATACTTTGTTTAGAGCAGTCATTTTTCAGATACTTGGAGGATGCAGGATGCAATGACTATTGCCTGGTATTCCACTTCTTTGTGAAACACTTAGGGAATGCCTGTGGTTATTAAACATTGTGTTCACTGAATGTCAAGGTGAATAAAGTACTGTTCCCTTTTCAAAAAAGCTTCCTGTTAATAAGGGAGTGAACCCAGAAGAGTGGGGCAGCCTGGGGGGTGATGTGCTACTGTGAGTCCTGTGTTCAGCTTGGGCTGAACTCAACTACTTTTTTTTTTATTATTAAATCATAGCTGTGTACATTATTGCAATCATGGGGTACAATGTGTGGGTTTTGTATACAATTTGAAATACCTTCATCAAACTGGTCAACATGGCCTTCACGGCATTTTCTTAGTTATTCTCAATTACTTTTAAAAACTTTTGCAGGATCAGGTCAGCATTAGTAAGTGGATTATGGCTTGAGATGGGGGCAGAAGTCAGGGGCATTAAAAGACCCCATACCACTCATAGTCCCCTATAAATGAATAATGATCAGTAAGTTGTCTTTACACTTAATTAAAATAATGGGATCAACTTATAATCACTGGAATACTGACATGAGTTTAACTGGAACTTCCAGGCACTGCCAGTGTTTTATTTTAATTCCAACCCTGTTTATCTCCAGAAACTTCTAAACATGGAACATTTTAATTTGTTTCCACTCGCTATATTTCTAGTGTCCTGTCAAAAATATATTTATAACCAGGAAGTATTCCAAAAACTGGAAGAAGCAAGCCACAAACAGGAGCATACATTTCAAAACTGGAACATCCATCCCTCAAAACTTAAACTGATAAGATTTCATTCAAGAGGACCAGCCTGGAGGAGAACTTTAATCATATGGCCAGGAATTGTTAAGCAAATTATGAATTTGGATCATCTGATTCTTCGTGAAATATTTTAACCTTTGTCATGTTGATTAGGCTACGAAATCATGTGTAGCCGACTGAAGGTAACATTTCCTATGTACCAGCCAGGTGTCAGCTGCCCCTTTCAGGGTTCAACATGTGTTAGCCTCTGTAAATTTAGAAAGACACCCTGTCAAAGTAGTCATTGATCTAGCCAGTACTCATATCATTATTTTTTACTTGGAATATTTGTTTTATTTTCATAATTTATTCTCTTCCAGCTCTTCTTTATGCAACTATTTTTGGAAATGTTACCACAATTTTCCAGCAAATGTACGCCAACACCAACCGATACCACGAGATGCTGAATAACGTACGGGACTTTCTGAAGCTCTATCAGGTCCCCAAAGGCCTCAGTGAACGGGTCATGGATTACATTGTCTCAACTTGGTCCATGTCAAAAGGCATCGACACGGAAAAGGTAGGAGTTGTTCTTATTACTTATTTTCTGTAATATCCAGTAGGATCTTCAGGTGCGTGGAGCTTTCTGCTTCCATATTGCTTGTGTAATTGCTGTGTAAATGTTATTCCGCATTTCCTAAGTGACATACCAATCATAGGTATTGAGTGCTTACAAGGTGCAAAGCACTCAACCATTAATCATCAGTTAATACTAGTCATCACTTTCAATTTAGAAAATTTGGTTCCTGAAAACAACTAATTACTGCACCTCCCTGAAACACTCTCATTACCTCTTACAGTAATTTTCTACGTTCCTCATCCCCAGTGTAGCCCTTTCTCCTGCTAGATTTTATTCTTGATACCTCCTTTGATTTTTTTGCTATAGGAACCTTCCTTGCTATAAATAAAAATTTCCATGTCTTTTATGCTATCCTACTTACATTTACGCTGTCCTCTCTCACATTTTATAGAGGAACTTAAAGTTTTCGATTTTCCACTTGGCCTGCACGAATCTATAAACTGGACACCTCCCTCTCCAGTCACCTGGCAGCTCTGATTTTTTTCCTTATCTTTTCATGGAACCGGGTTTAATTTTTTCCCACCTATTTCATATCTGGGGCAAAGAAGGACCCAAATCCTCCTTCTGACAAATGCAAACAAATTAAAAAACAAAACACACACACTTACTACAACAGGTGATTCATATCAAATACGGGGCAAACAGAGCTTGCCCTCAGAGTTTTAGAGAAGAGTAATTTTGAGCTGTCTCACTGTATAAACATCAGCAGACTGTTCTTTTTAGATACTTACTTTTGACATATGAAAGTCGGTTGGCACGATACCTCCCTTGTCAATTCCCTGAAATTAGTTTGTCCTTTTAAGCTCACGGTGTTGACTTATATTTTCCTCTGAGATGGGCTTTTCAGTGTCAGAGGGGAAAGCAAATTAGCAAAGTCAATGTTTAGTTAGGGGAGTTTATGAAACAATAAGTAAGTTGTTTTAAACTGGAGCAGTTTGTTAGGAGCAGATGGTCGAGGGATGGTGCAGGAAATGGCAGGGACTGTTAGCTGAGGGGGAGATGCCTCCAGAGGACGTGCGGGAGGGACACTTGGAGGTAACTACCTACGTGGAAAAATTGTGAACCAGGGTGAGATTTGCTCTGCTTTCAACATAAAGTGCTACGTGTGACCACAGAATGTGAAAAAAGCAAACAACATTTCCATGAATTACGCTATATACACCTGAGCCAATGCATGGGTGGTAGGGAGGGGGCCTCCAGAAGAAACAGAATCTTCCTGGGGGGAGGGGGAGGGTGCCAGAGTTTAACTCATCAAATTCAGCATGTCTTTTTGAAATCCACATTAAGTGAAAATGAGATAAAGAGGCAACCACCTGCTTTGTCAGTCACTCTCTTAGTAAGAAGGTTTTCTTTCCAGAAACTACAGTAGAGTCACTTGGTACCTAACATAAAACATCAGTGAAATGATGGAGGAGTGGCCTTTCACTTATTACAAGAGCCGGGTCCAGGACATTTGCCACAAATACACTGTTGCTAAATGTCTGTCAACTCCTGGCTGCCAGGCTGGTTCAGGAATGGAGGGGACTAGGTTCCTGTCAAGCCTCCCTTGGGGACTCCCTCAACTGCCCGACCTGTTAGGCTAACTCACCCCGCAAGGCATGTGTCCTCAGCTCAGGAAACAATTTAGAGGTCCCTACCTTCTGCTGCCCCACCCTTTTTTTCCTCTTTTGGTTTGCTGAGTCATCCTGTGTGGTTGCAGAAATGCCAGCTGATTAGTAGAGAGCTGGAGAAAATGACTTGAAAGAGTATGGTGAGGCCCATGTTAAAGGAGAAGGAAAGATTTAATTCAAATTAAAAGATTTTTAAAGAGAAATTTTAAAGTAGTGAAGTGATTAGCTTTCAGAGAAGAAAATTATGGATGTGTCTCTTAATTGCATGGGGGTAACTAAAGAGTTCTTGAAAAAGATTTAATTAACTATGACAAATGTAAAGATTGTGTTGTACACGTACAAAACATACAATATTTCATGCCTATATTGCTTTCTTCCAACCTATTAAGAAATTCTCCACCTGGATGCCTAAGAACTAGGGTAACGGCATTGTAAGGGAAGAGAAGAAAGAAAAGATGAGTGCCAGATTCAGGCCTGGAGGAGGGGTGTAGGAATTTTCAGCAGTTTCCCTATTAATGAAGCTAAATTTAAAAGTGCTTCTCAGACCACACACCATTTGCCATAATGAACGAGAAAAAGCAAAAATTGACATTCAGTTCTCTGGTTTAGTGGAGAAACCCACCAACCAAGCAGAAAATTCACATGCCTATTAACCAGTCAGTTATTTAACAAATAAATAGCCATGTAAATGCAATTTTAAAATATAATAATAAAGAGTTGAGGTATAAGCAAAATAATTAGTAACTAAAATGGGAAGGGACTAGTTACCTCAGAACGAGACTTCACTGTAAATAGTAACTAAATATCTGCTAAAGGATAAATTACAGAGATGGACTTAATATATTATTTAATATCATTATGAAATGAGTTAAAAATCTCAGAAATATTTATAAAGGTCTTCTCTCATTGTCTAACAAAAATATCAGAACTGAGAATTAAATGCAAAAAAATAAGAAACCATAAACTATTGAATATATTTACCTTATTTTTATATATTACAGAAATGGGATACATAACAAGGTAACTGGTAAATAGATTTGCCTAAAAAAAAAAAAGTAAAACTTCTCACCCCCCCCAAAAGAAAACAACTAGCATGAAAATGAAAATAAGACAAAATATTTGCAAAAAAATTACAAATGAAAGGTTAGGTACCTTAATATGTAAAGGGATTTGATAAATCAATGGGAAGAATTAGAATACCTGGAGATAAAAATGAGCTAGGGACACAGGTAATTTATAGAAGACCAAAAAATGCAGATTACTCATATACATACAAAAAAGCTTAATTTCACTTCAGATGGTAAAAACTGACACAGCAAGAAACCATTTTTAATATGCCTCATGTTAACAAAGGCTGCAGTGCTGGTCACTAGCGTGCAGCTCTGGAAGGCATGACAATTGGTAGGATGCTGCTCCAATGCAGTTTGACCAAGATGATAACTGGGGAGTATCCTGCAGCCTGGTCCTGTGCCCCTTCCCTTTTCTGTCTGTCTTCTCCTCTTCAGTGATGCCATCTAATCTCATGACTTAGAAGTTTATGCCGCCACCACCCGAATGTGCATAGTCATCCTGGACCTGTTCCCTGAACTACAAACTCCTATCCAGCTGCCTCCTCATGTCAGTGACTTTGTCCAAAACCAAACTCCTAATCATTTCCTAAAAACATATCTACAGAAATTCATCCCGATGCCATTGACGGACACTTCACCTGTCAGTTGGTGATGAACAAAATGCCCTCGTTTAGGCCTCCATCAAATCCTTTTGTCTCTACGTCCAGGCTCGCCGTGCCCAAGGCCATCACCCGTGGGTTATTCTAGGAGCCGACTGACTGACCCGTGCCTTCACCTTAGTACCCTCTTCTCTTTACGGTAGCCAATGAGGTGTTTATCCAACCTGTTAAGATATAAGTGTGGAAAAAATAACATGAAAGGTTGATGACAATAATCATAGAAGCTCTGTACTTGTGCCCACAATGTTAGAATTATGGATGTACTTTTGGATATAACTTTAGTAAGCAGCTTCTGAATTTTAACAATTATCTGGTGTTTAATGTTAGAGAGGTTTATGTTTTCTGTTCCTCAGTAAGCCAAGTGATAATACTTTGTCTTATTATATGTTTAATATCTCATATTTTATTGATTTTCTTCAAATATTTGAATAGCAGTGATTGCAATCAAATTCAAATATGAGTATTTACTGGAAGAAAAAGACACATAACGTATGAAGCCAGATGTCTTTGCCTCAGTGCTTCCCTGCTCTTGCTGTAGAACAGCTATAGATTATTTCTGTGGCTGGCACCAAGGACTCTATAAAGATGCAGCTAATTAGAGGAAAACCTTGGTCCAATGACCGGATTTCCTTCTATCATTTCCATATATTTTTTATAGATTTTTGAATTCAGCTTTAATCCACAAGCAAACTAATCACTGTGATTTAGTCAGCCTTAACTTGCCTGATGTGAATAATGCTTTCTCTAATACAATTGTGGCGTTACAATCTGTGCTGATAGGGAATGATTGCTCTTCTATCATGAAAGTTTGCTTCAAGCAATTTTTAAAACTCAGAACAGTGCCTTGATTAATTTTATTTCATTGAAAATATTTTGTTGACTACTGGTTACTATAGATGCTTTAAATTCTGTTTAAATGTAACGACCAAATCCGTTCTCTGGCTTTGCTACTTGCTAATATTCTGTGCACATGAAGGACAGAGAAATGGGTGGAATGAAGGAGGATTTAAAAGAGAAAGAGGCGATTATGGGAAAAAATAGAAAGGATGATGGTTAAAGCTCAGAAAATTCTATCCTGCAGTTTGAAATGACTTTACTGAGAAATAATTCAAATGAAGTAAATGGCTGGGGACTTTATTTTTGGCTTCGGGGACCTTGTGTAAAATGTGGTGTCGACCACATGTCTCCCACCCTGCCGACTGTCCCCAGTTTGTTTTATAGAATGAAGCCCAAACCTGGTCCTTTTTATAGAATGAAGCCCAAACCTGGTCCTTTTTATAGAATGAAGCCCAAACCTGGTCCTTTTTA